TTTCAGCATTAGGGAAGGTCCCACAAGATCAGCAACCAATTCTCTACACAGAAAGCTTTCAAATACCATAGATACCATCTAGCTAAGAGATTCCACAGGCAGCATTACGCTTTATTCAATATCTAACACTTGCTGTTTGGCATATATGAATATATTGGTCATTTCAGATAGGCTGCCAAAAAGGATGAACAAAAATCCTCCCTTTTTTGCTATCTGATAGAGAGCAGCTGGTTCTCATTTGAGTAAGAATCTTTATTTCCCCATTTTTTCTTATATCACATGAATTTGCACTCAGTTACAGCAAAAAAAGTTGCGAAAGGATAGCTCATTCTGAGACACACAACAGAAACACAACTGCTCACTTCAATCTGTGGTCACTTTATGTTGACCTGAAGTCACTTCATCTGTATGAGCCGAGCAGTCTGCATACCTGGCAAACTCCAAGAGAAATTAATGTACTAATTAAGTTAGGATGACGGTTCAATAACTGACATGGTTCTCCGATTTCAAACCCAACCAACATCTTGGCATGACGCTGTCTTCTCAATGCAAATAGCTTTCTCCTTCCTCAGACGGTGCCCATCATATTTATGAACATAATCAAAGAATGACCACGGTAAGAACCATCACATGCACAATCTGTAGAGCTCATTATAAAGCTGGCTCTTTGCATTCTTAGTATCTGTTTAACTCTTATGCTTTTTGAGGAGAAAATGTTATATTCTGACTCTAAGCAAAGAAACAGAAAAAAAAACTCTCAACTCTGTTACACACAGTCCCAAGGAAATCGGGAAGACAAGATCTGATGGTATAATAAACACAGCTGGAGGCAGATCAAAGCAATGCAGGTGTTTTTCAACAAGAAAGATGACAACTTTTCTCAAATGAAATTAGGGCTTCCACATACTCTTGTGATGCCTGGAACATGTGCATTCAATATCCCAGGTTTTTACCCTCTCAGTAGGACAGACAGTAATGAGGTACCCAATTCCCGATGGCTTTCAAAGAAATTTGGACACCTGCCTCACATTTGTTCACGACTTTTCTCCATGTTATTTCCAGCTTTGACAAACTGCACACAAACCAGGAGATTCCATTTGCCCACAGGCTGCAGGTTGCCCTTATGTAAATCACCCAACCTTTGTATTCCTCTTTTTAGCCACCCCATTTGTGAAGTAAAAAACCTGCCCTATTATTAATATATTTAAAACTTCTTATAATGCTTTGAGCTTGCACTAGAGGTACATTATAAATACATGCATATCTGAATTACCAACGTTCAGAAATAACAGGAAAAATACTTGTTGGTGGATTAACTACATATGAACAATGCCAAATAAAAATCTACTCTGGTTTTGCTGAGGTCATTTAGTGCTGTAAAATTCTCATAAAGTAAATATTTTTGAAAGTGGGGAATGCTCTTGAGATTAAGCAATACATTACATTTTTTGATCAAATGCCAGAAGCCATAGGTGAATAGGAAACAGACATCAGTAATTACAGTTCGTACTTCAGCTATTTCAAAACCCCTTGCTTCAATGAGCAAGTATTAACTGGACAGACACTCCTTCACAAATTAGAGGTTGCAAAGGCTTATTACACACCATATTTATCTTTGAAACTTCTCCAACAGAATTAAACTAAAAAAAAAAAAACAGATTATGGTTGCAGGCAAATAACTATTTAAACTCTAACAACTATATATGTTTTTATCTGTCAAACTGTCCCTGCAGCCACTCTTTGGTTTAGGAGCTCAGGAATGCAGTATTAAGAAATACTAGTAATTGTATTAGTATGCTGTTGTCAAACTTGAAACTGGCTGTATTTTATCACAGGAGCTGATAACAAATTTATTTCTTGATTGTGTAGGCCTTTGAACGCAACAGAATTGCAAGAATATGAGTCTGGACTATCCCCAGATGGGATCAGAAATGAAAGAAGTATGATAACCACGTGAGTGAGAAGCATACGACAAGAAGCATCCACACTGCTTGGTGAAGAGCACCCAGAGCCATCAACCTGACATCAAGCAATGCCACTGTAAAACCAAAAGCAACCCAACCACCTCACTGTGTTACAGCACCTGAGTAATGAACTCGGTTAAGAGGCCTTACTGGCACATACCAGAGCTGGCTTTGATCAGACCACCTAGCTCAAGACAAAATCCTTGTTCAGAGAACAATGTAAGAAGACATTCCCCTTTTCAAAGTTAGTTTTCTGTTTACTCTAGAGAACCACACTTGGGAAGCTACAAGATTTTTCCTCAAATGACTTCAGACTACTCAGGATATCCAAGAGGGGACCATGACTACAGTTAGAAGAAATATGAAACTGCGGTGGAGAAAAAATTGGGGCAAAACTAGTGCATGCATTTCAGCCTTTCTCTGAGGGGTAGGAAGGAGGTCAGGCAAGGTGGCCTTTTAACAGCTGCCCAACCCAAGATACCATCAAATAAGCTCCTAATAAATATCTGGCTTCACAACAGATTGTACTGAAATAATTTAAGTACATTCCTCTAGATCCGTAATTTCAGTCAGACGAGGAGATAGTGCAAACTTTCCATTTGCTAAAAGAATTATTACTACATCTCAGATTTAGTTCAGTATAAGAGATTAAATATTTAAGCTGATTAAAAAGGTTTCGGCTAACTGAAACAAGCATTGGGATTGTTAAAAAAAAAACAAATCAGGGAAAGTTAAATCTCAGAATGCAGTTTTACTTGTTTGGCCAAAATTCACAGCACAGAACAAAACTACAAAAATGTGTCAGGAATGCAAGACATCTTAGAATCAGATCAACAATTTAGGAAGATGTTTATTAAATGTACAGTTATGTATTATTCAGATGATCTCTATAAATCTCTATTAGGGTTTTGTATTTTCCTGGTTAATCGGGTTTTTCAAATGTGGTATAATTCTGGGAATTAACTAATATTCTAAGCAAATACTTTAGGTAGATCAAAATACTTGAAATGTGATCATTTTTAAAATACGTCACATAAGTAACCCAACATAAATATTCTGCATACTTCCTAAATAGCTACAGCATTAATGGCCTAACATAAAACTAATTGGTTAATTTAAGTCAGAAATATTACAGGTGGCTGGGTATGCACTGCTGTGACAAATACAACATGGCAAGTTCTCAGACAATAACTGGTTTTTGAGGGTTTGGATTTCTTTTAAAGCACATTTTCATAACAAACAGCAACGATCCTAGCAATTAAATCAAGGTCTTTATTTGATTAATAAACACTGTTACTATTAAGAGCAACAATTACAAGGAAGTGTATAGCATTTGTTTAATATACACTGCTTTAAAATGTTTAATGGAATACTGCTGATGTTTTTAGCACAAAATTATCAGCATCATTCTGCTTTTCAGTATATAACAAGCAGAAAGGTCAACTGTATCTAACACTCATCTGCCAGCTGCTTAAAAAAAAAAATAACAGAAATTATGGACAGAGTGCCTGAAAGTTTAGGACAGGAACATTTGGAACTGAGAAAAATCTTGATGAAGGTTCATGGTGTAACCTGTTTATGCAAGTAAACATGCAACTTACCTTTATAATTACTTTACAAAGAGATTATCACTTCCTTCCACACCAAAGCTTCTAAAGCTCATATAGTTTGTAAACCATAGTGTGAGATTTATGGTGTTACACTGCAGAAGCCTGTGTAGCCCCTGATTTACAATCCTGGCAATCGTATTCAACTCTGTCATCATAACTAATTACAGCTAACTGCAGATTACCATACTGCAAACTCACTCTCATCTTTGTGAAAGAAATACGATGTTCTGCTAAAAAAGAAAAAGAATCAAACATCCTGAGGGCTAATGAACAAAAATGCACTATTCCACGTTGGGCTGCAAACCTAAACTCTTCGAATCAGTACCGTAAAACTTAAAATTGCTATTTGTTGGCAAGTTGTTTTAGCCTCAAGTACTTACATAGTAAATCACCATTACGCTAATACCATACCTTTGGCCTGAAACATATTAATCTTGGTTAACAATAACTGACATTTACATTACCAATTCAATTCAGGCATTTTGGTGACTAAACATATATGCAAGAGCTTCAGGGAGAAAAGTTATTAGTTCTGAATGTGTCCTTGCTTTTCACTGAGAGTAGTTTTGAAGAAACATTATCATAAATTCTTGTTATAATCTTATAACAAACATTCAAATCTTAATTGATCTGTAAAACATTTGACTTGGAGTAAAATCTGCATTTGTTTCTTGGGTGTAGCTAACTGCCCAACATAACATATTTCAGATATTTTTTAAAATACATATTATTATACCTCATCTGCTCAAAGAAACTGGGACTTTTAAAACTTGAGTTCCTGGGAAGGAAAGAAAAATGGGAATGTGAAATACTCTAAAAAAATATGACAGCAGGACATGACAAATAGTACCAGATCCTCCCAGGAGGCGGACGATGGACTTTTTTCAGCCCATTTTTTTTTTCTGTTTACATTTACTAAGCCCACAAATGCATAAATAATAATATTTTTAAAACAGGTAAGGTGGTTTTGCTTTTCTTTATTTAATGCCCCACCCACAACTTTCAAACAATCAGAAAAGTAGTATTTACTGCATTAGGTCTGTACAACCTTAGCAGGGAAACTTATCCCTCTCCTTGTACCCATGCATTGTAACTCCAGTGCAGCACAAAACACATTTGGACCAAGTATTTTATTCCAACTTTAGAGAGTTCTCTATCAAACTCCAAACCCATTCTACAATGCATTATCTTAGATTTTCATGCTTTGGAAAAAAAATACTATAATTAACATATTACTGATGTTTAGATAGTATTTTTGCTACATTATAAGAGAGAGCCAAAACAGTCTAAAAGCATTAAAAGAAACACAAGGAATTTGATGTGCTAGGTTTTGGTTTGGGGTTTTTTTGTGTGTGTGTTCTTAAGTTGCCCACAAAGATTCTTCAAGTAAAAATGGGTATTTAACTCCTGAGGAAAACAAGATGGATTACATGTATCCCATGTTGCTTTTTGTTTCCCATCTTTTCTTGGCTTCAAATCTGAAATAAAGCACAAAAACCATGTTGGGAATCATGAGCATGTACGTTTCAGGTATTCAACCATCTATTCTTAGTAACAACAAAAATTAAAGCTTCATTTTATTACTGCAATAAAGACACTAAGGCAAATGTAGCCATATAACCAATATATTAATTATCATAAAGCCTCTGTACTTAAGTCTGATACATTGCTAAAAAAACCCACAAAAAAACCCCTCAAACCCAACAAGGTTAAACAAGACAAATAAGATTAGCACAAGCCTATTTCAACTAAGAAAACATTTAACTGAGATTGTATTGTATACACTTAGTGCCAATAAAACCACAAATGTTTAATTCCATACTCAAATGACTTACCCCCAAGCAAGCTTCTTTTTCTTTCGAGCTTCTTGGGCAGCCTCTGCTTCTTGCTTGGCTTTTACAAAGTTGCGGCAAGCAGCAGCTTTGGCAATTTTCACACCAAGCTAAGACATAAACAGGAACAAAGGAAAACTGAATAGATGCAAATAGCTCATATGAAATTTAAGCCTTACAAATTACTTGGTCTGATACTGTTTCTCAAAATTCAATAGATATTAAAATGTCTTTCAAATATTAGGCTGATGCTCTACTATTAGATCAGACAAGCAAGAATGCCTCAAAAGAAACACAAAGGACTGGGATCCTGGGGCAAGCAATCCTTTTCACCAAATCCTTCATTTTCAAGAATAAAAAAAAAGGGCAATAGCCCACTAGATGCTTTTGTTTGTTTGTTTGTTTTAAATAAAAATGTAGACAGATACACACACACAGTCTCCATTATTAAGACCAGTCTGTGACCTCAACTGTGCTAACACAATAATATCAGATCTTACTAATACAAAAACTACCCAAAAAGTTTTATACAGGAAGAACTGCTACTACCACACATTTTCCAGTAGTACCAGTTTTAATCAGTCTATCCAGAAAATAAATGAAGCAGTGTCCTTAGAGTCCATCTGGCATTTAGTCTACACATTAACAGCTTTCAGATTATAAGTGTGATAATATGCATGCTTTTCAAATAAGGTCATAGTAGGCTGTAGGTGAAAACTACTTTACTTTCCTAAAGTTAGTCACACTGTGAGAATTAACTTTAGTGAACGTCAAGGTGGGGAAAAAGAACAAAGCAAAAAAGATGGAAGAAGGTACTGTGAACTATGACTAGATTATTTTCCTTAATCAGCACTCATAACTTGTTAATTGCAGTTACATTTTGTACATCATCACTTGACATATTTGCAACTAAATGATGAATTACAGAAGAATTTGGTCTCAAAAGTTACTGCTTTTCTCCAAGACAAACAAGCAATTCATTCAGCCAAAACAAACAGCTACAAACTGTGATGCGGATAAACAGTTTTTCTTCCTATCCACTCCAAAACCTACTGAAGTTAGCCAACATGTTTCTGACTGGATATGCTAAATTTCCCCAAATGTCATGCGACTATAAAAGAAGAAAGGCATGGGAGACCCAAGTAAAAGAACATTCCTTAACACTTTGGTTTAAATTCCATTATTAATGGTAATATACTTCAATAATCTACACAGGTAACTCTTATTTACTCCAAGAGATGTTTTATCCAGATAAGATGAGAGAGAACTCAAGAATACATCTTCAGGTGTAGATGCACTGACATCTTCTACAACTCTCCCATTAAACACCTACCACGTAGGTTGGTTGACACCATGACCATGTTTTTGCTAACAAAGCAAAACAAAACAACATCACTACAAGCTGCTCTACCTTACTGTCTTTTCAGGGTTCAAGAATCAAGAAAGCAGCCTCCCTGCAGAAGACTGAGAGTCTACATGATGCAGACAATAAGCACATCATCAGCTCCTGCTTTAAGGTTCTAAGCACTGGCAATACAAACAGTTAAGAGGTAAGCATAATATTTTAAAAGGAATATGTGTAAAATAAATAATGCTAAACAAGCTTTTAATTTACTATTTGCACCTATAAAGTCATAAATATGTGCCTGTGGAATCACACTGATGCACAAAATAATTCATGTGACCAAACATTTCAAAACTTTTATATTATTAGCTACATCATTTTTCCCCTGAGCATCAACTTTTTATATAATCAGTAACTCCATGCCAACATCTGAACTGCCAAATCTCAAGTCACAGACTAGAACACAGCATTCTCTTATTTGCATTGTCACTTCATATTTAAGGGAAGTTATTAACACACTTGCAGTATAAAAATGCTTTAGAAAACTCACCTAAAGTATTGAAAAAATATTTACATGTTAATTGACACTGGACTATTTATTAGCTAAAAAAATAGAGCAATTTGATGGCTGAAGTCAGTCAATCAGCAGAACCACGCCTTAATTTTTGTACTGTATTTTACCCCCTAACATACTTGAAAATTAATTCTTACTATGTGATGAATAACAGCATCTCCTTAAAATATGTTCTAGTGGCCTACTGAACACTTATGCAAATATACACAAGTGAGGTCTACATAAATGCTGCAGAAAAATCTTTTCAACTGTATTTCTTGGAAGACAGAATGAGTTCTTCCATCTTTGAAAGTACAGGAAAAATGGGATTATAATACCCTCTGTAGTGCATGTGGAAGAGAAAGGAGAAACATTTTACAGCACTAATGTTATCATTTTTGGGCTGCATAGAGTCAAATTTTCCAAGACATGAAAACAAATGTTGCATATAAACACACAAACATTTTAGTCAGATTAAGTGTCTTCTGCTCCCACCCACACCCAGACATACATCTTCACTCCCCCCCTTCCTGAAGAAATCCATAAAACCTTGGTCAATGGGTTTTGCATTTAAAAAAAACATTTCAGGTCATCAGATAACTCAATAAAATACAATCTTAAAAGAAGTAAGAAAGCATGAATAAAAATATATACAACAATTTCTTGTGTAGTCAAAGTATCAGCATTTTCCATATAGAACATCCAATATTTTGCTGCATTTTAATTAAGGTGTCTAAACATTATCACAAAGAACTGCAAATTGGTCAGAGCACGCAGTAAGGAAAATTAAGCTCTAAAGGCTTTTTATCACCATATTTCAGGAACCAAGGGTGTAAAATGTTCTAATTTGGGATATATTAAAAGCCATAAAAGGTCTTTCAAAAAGATTAATGGTACTTTGCTTGGATTTAAGATAAGGGCTTTAGCTGGTTGGAAAAGCAGGGCCCTGGCTAGACCCTTGAGGCATTCATCTTTACAGCCACTTGGAAGATTTGTAAAAGCGTCTGCATAACCTCAAGCAAACGCACTGCGACATTTTTTTTTTTTAAATTCCTTTCAATTTTACAGGTTTAAAGTGTGTAAATCACATTGGGTAGTAAAGCTGATATAATGGTTCATCCTTGTAACGCTATATATATATATATTTTAAGACAAACTTTAAAAACAACTTAGTTTCTACAAGGCTAAGACCTTTCCAATTTGAAGTTGACCAATAATAATGTAAAAAAAAAATCTTACTCTAGATGTTTAACGTGGCATAAATGAAAATTCCTTATCCGTTGTTTCTCATAAATTTTCTGCTCATCTGAAATTGTTACCTTGTAACAGATTTCTGAAGCTTTGCTTCTTTTTGAACGGTTTCAAGGCATTTATTTAAAAATACCAATTATCATACTTTAACTTTTTTATGGAATAACAGGTCTCTATGAAAAAAAAATATTTATGCCATTCTCTTTTGTTCTTTAATTAAATGAAAACAGATGTTTTCTGAAGTAAAGCGGAACCATTACTGGAGTACTTAAAGTGTTAAGGTCTTTAATTTTTATATCAGTTTGGTCTACAATTCCTGATTGTCTTTACTCAAGCTCAACATTAATGTCAAGCAAGTTACCTAGGAGACGAAAGAGATCAAAGAGACAAAAAACCCTCAAATGTCTGATTAATCAAGCCTGCAAACAGCTTATTTCTTTTAGCCTGCATGCAAGTATGAAAATGAGATTCTGGGAGCCGTACATTGTGCAGATTTGTTCATTCTTATCAGAACAAAGCCAGCGGCAGCTTATTTCATGGATCATTGGCACTGTCATCAGTGCTACACAGAACGGGTGACAGCTCCTCATTTTGAGGCTTGAACAAAATTAGCAAAAAGTCGGTACAAATTAGCCTCTCATCTTTTTAGTAATATGACATTATTCATTTACTTTTTATCCAATTTTTAATTTTTTCCTTGTCAGCTATCCCTTTCTAGTGTTTCTTGCACAGCATCATAAAACACTTCTAAAACAAGCAAAGAAATGGCTGAAGTTGAAATAGTATGTAGAGTTCAGGCAGAAGAGTAAACATTTTTATGAAGTTGCAACAGAACCTACTGTAACTTCCAGAAAACTTCCTTGAAAACCAACACATTTAACATAAAATACAATAAAGCAAACACTTTTCATTAAGACAGCACTGTGCAATGTCACAATGCAACACCAAATAAGAGAATTAATGAGACAACATATTCAAGAACTGCTCTGGAAATATTTAGGTCTGATATATGAAATGCTAAACCCACAGAAGCTCTAACAAAACATCTATATTCAAACAGGTCTTGAAATATCCTACGATCATACAGGAGAAACCAAGCAGCCTTTTAATACACTGTTACAGTTTCTCATCAAATATGAATCTAGTTATTTCAGGCTTGCCTTTAGCAATGATTTTCTCCTTTTATGTTATGGAATGTTATCCATTGCTGACGTATATAAAATATATAAAGCAAACAAGAATACAGAGTGGATTTTGCAGTGAAAATTGTCCCCTTTCAATGATGTGCTCAACTTCCACTGTAAAATACTTTGTAATACCTTTGTTGTATTTTTATGCTGTGTATTACAACATCAAATTATATTTGGATGACATAGTAATGGAGCAAGGACAGAAAACTGTTCTAATATTAAGCTCTTTGCTAGATTTAAACATTTAAATGTAAGTAACTTCTTCCATTCATGAGAAAACACAGCATTAAAAAATTAACTATAAGCTGTTAGATGCTTTACACAGCCCCCTCATAAGAAAGGCAGTTTTAAAAAAAGAACTGTAGTACTGTTTTCAGCAATTTCTTTATCTCTGTTCTTCTAAGTAAGAAAGCTTATTAACAAGCTTTGAACTTAAAATCACATTTACAATAATGTGCCATCAACAGTTTTATAAGCTAATTAGAAAAAAAGATTAATTAATGACTGGCTGCTAATAAAATGGCAATCATGAAGAAAGAAACCAAGGGTGCTAAGCTTCAACTACCACCAATTAAGAGCTAATTACAAACAAATTATATATGTGTTTTGCTGTGGGCTTTAATTTACTAAAATGGTTTTAATTAAAAGAGAAAACATGCTGATTAATTGAACTGCAGAAAAAATCTACAGTATAAACTGTGCTTTGTCTGTCTCTTTAATTAGACTTGTAACATCTGAAATCTTTTTTTAAGGTTTGTTAAGGAAAAGATA